AGGGTATTATGTTAAGTGAAATAAGCCAGAAAGAGAAAGACAAACACTGTATGATCTCACTCATATGTGGAATATAAACCAACACATGGACAGAGAAAACAGTATTGTGGTTACTAGGGGCAATGGAGGTGGCGGGTGGGCACAAGGGGTGAAGGGAGACATGTATATGGTGATGGGCAAACAAAAATGTTCAACCCAAAATTTCACAATGTTAAAAACTATTAAAACATCAATAAAAAAAAAAAGAAACAAAAAAAAATGTGGATTTAGAAGATTGACTCACAGGCAATTAGAAAAATTTTTATTTTAACAAGATGTAATTTCTAATTATGACGAAATTACATTAAATCACCACATTATGTAATTTTATTATGTATAGTATATAAAAAGGGACTACAATGACCAATTTCAATATAATAAGTACTCTATTTCTACCTTAATACTCATCAAAAACTGAGGGTTCTCTATGGGAAACTCAGCTGATCAATTAGTTGCATGTGCGTTCTGCATATTAATGAGGATTTAAGGGCTGGTAAAAGTGAAACTGACATTGTAGAAATAAATTGGGGAAAGGCATAGCATTTTTCTATATTATAAAAGTAAATTAAATTTAACATTAAGTTTATTTCTCTTTTCCTCACTTCTAGAACACATTCAGCATTTTGAGTTAACTTTTGGTATTTTTCAATTAAAAACACAAATCCAAATACATTATTATTATTATTGTAGTAACAAATTTATGTATATAGTATTTTGCCTCCCAGAAAATTAAACTTTTCTTAAAAGTTCCACTCTTGCTTAAAAGCCAAAACAATAACTTTAAAAAAGAGATTTAAAATTTCTGCATACAATAACTTTGCTCGAAGCAAGGAGACATTTTCAAGCACATTAACAAAATGATCCGTGTATGTTGTCATCTCCCTGCGTGGCCCCCACCTCTGCTAGATCTGGATGTTTCTGAATCTGTTAGTGGTGAGACCTTGGTTTTTCAGGCCCCATCTGTATTTATCCATAAATAAATTTAAATGTTAATTATTTTTCTTACCAAAACAGTAATTTTTTTCCTTCAAACTACTAAATTGAGATATAAACAAGCTACTGTTTAATCAAAAAGTTGGGAGAGGGACAAAATGTTGCTCTCCTCCTGAATGCAGTCAGGTTTCCTACTTCACAGGGAGTAAACGGACATATCTGTAGGGTATAATTCACTAACTGACAGAAAAAATATAAACTGTTACTTCTAGCCTGCAAATAGTGATTAGATGTTATTTAAATGGCATTTTTCATTGAAATGACAGTAGAATTTTCAGAAGACGAAAATATGTGGGTGAAGTTGTCATAGCTAGACTTTGGGAGATTGAGAAAATATAGAGATTTTTTTTTAAATCTATTTTTGGATAAAAAGAAAATATGAGAGCTAAGTCTGAAAGAGAAAAGATTTGTCTCATTAACAAGACAAATGAATGCAATATAAGGAAAATATTAGCTCTTTCAAAAATTCCCAATCCACTAGTCAATACAAATCTTTCATTTGAACAGATTTCCAATAGTAAACAAATACACGGGTGTATGGGTCTGTGACAAGCAGGTACCACGGTCCTCCCCCAGACGTCTGATTGCCTAAAATTTGTCATGCTGTTGAGGAAGTTTCTAAGGGTGCTGGGCAGCCATTCTTTCGACTTTGAGTCACGGTACTTTCCTAAACTTCCAGGATGGGGAAGACTGACTCCCACTCACCATCCAGCTCATCAGGCTCAGTGATCATGCTACAGGCTGGGTCAGCTCTGTTCATCTATGATGGAAGCTAATCATTCTGACAAGTGAAGGGTAGGAGTTGAAGAAATTCAGCACAGACATTAATATGCTTATCATTGTTTTTACTGTAAAATGTAACAGTTATATCTGCTTTAAAATATCAAGGGAAAACATTAACCATTTTTAATAGGATGGAAGCTCCCTCCATGCAGTCAATAAGCAATTAATTAACCAGGTTTTAAAGAGAAATATTAACAATAACCTATAGCTGTTGTGATCACAGATATTTAGAAAATAGCAAAACATTATTTAGATGGAAAATGAACCAGCAATAGGAAAAACCTGCTGTCTTTTAGGTTTTGTAAAAATTTTATTATTTTAAAATGAACTGTATCAATAGCATTTTTAAGGCTCGTCTGTTTTTTGGCAAATGACTGAAATCTATCTTGAATATTTTAATGGCTAAATCCAGTTGGGTAATATAAAATGACATGCAGAAAGAAAAAGAAACAAATGTTGGGCAACGGTTACTTAACTAATAGGTTAAAGTAAGGGAAGTAAGAAAAAGTAAGTGGAACAATTTAAATAATTTCATTCAAAATATAAGTGGGACGGAAAGTAGTATGCATCCCTAGTGGCCTAAACAGAAATGTGGAATCAACCCCAGAGGAAAACGAATGGAATACAGCCTTCAGTCAAAATACAGAATTGTATTTCTTTATACCCTTTGTCCCTTTCCTTGTAAATATTATATGCTGTGCTTTTTAGGGAAATGACAGAATGTCAGGTTATATTTTCTACGTGTAATGCAGACTAAATTCCATTGTAATGGACCTCAAAATAGTGCCCACATAATTTAATAATATTGAGATTGTTTTCCTTCCTTCCTCCTTCCCTCCTTTCCTTATTTTCCTCCTTCCTTCCCCCTCCTTCTATCATTTATCTAATATTTAACACCAGCTAACTCAAATATTATGTTAAGAGCTGGAAAATATAGATAGGTCACCATGGCCATTCTTCTTTCTTTATTCTAAGCCTGAGATTTTGCCTACTTTCAAATCCACAAGTCAATTTCCTCTAATGTATTTTGGAAAGGGGGAGCTTTATTAGCTATTTTCTTGAGTTACCAACATCGCAATTTCTCTTTAATTTAGCTCCCCACTTCTCCGGGGGAGGAGTACACCTCCTCAGTTCTCCACCTGTAACTCTTTGGAACAGCAGACTTTCTTGCATGATAGGTTTACCACTGTGTTATTTAGTTTAAAATAATAATAATACAACACAATCCAAGGTATGCTTCATTACTCCAAGTCCTGTCACCTTCCACTGTTCCCTGACAGGCCTGGGAGATAAATCTATTGGTTATTGTTGGCTGGCTAATAAGCAACACTTGCATCAAACACAACGGCGACAACAACAACAACTATACATGTGTGCGTGCACACACACACAACAGACACACAAACATGCACACACATGCACATAAAAAGCGCCGGAGGATAATCACAATTTAAACAATCGAATTTAAACGTACATTGCGGAAGAGAAGTTGTGATCTAACTGCATCAAAATCAGCACAGTTGTGCTGCTCAGAGCGAGCATTATGTCATCAAGAACAGCAGCAGTTATACTTGGGTCAACTTTTCTGCTTTCACATTCTGTTCTTGGTCTTATTGGGGGCCCATTAGAAAGCCACACATACCTGGCTGGTTGCTTCATAACTTAGAGCCAAGAGAAGATTTAAAATTGAAGCTTATCTTTATTTTTCAGGCCAGATAACTCATATATACTAATAATATAATGCAGTGCTATAAAAGCAAGAAACAATGCCCTTTCCACCACAGAGGAAAGAATAATGAATTCTGTAAGAGAGAATTTGCAGAGATTACATGTAGGCCTTGAAAGGAGGTAGAAATTAAACTGCCTATAAAATAGGAGAAAAGAACATATCACAGGGAAGAGAGTGAACGAAGACACAGAGATATGAGAAAGGTGGCATCTTTGGGAATAAGCAGGGAGGCTAGTGTGGCTCAAATGTAAGTTTAGGGGTGGGGAGCAGGATTGAGAGATGAAGATAGAGTGTGACATCTTCCAACCAGTGTTTTCTCTTTTAATAATTAGAATTAGTGTTGCTCAAAAATAAATACATCATCAACTATAGGTTTCAAATATTTAGTCACAGAGTTTGGTATTTTTGCAAATGACATGTAAGCATATAACTACATCTTTTTTTACACTGTGTGTGTGTGTGTATGTGTGTGTGTGAGGAAGATTGGCTCTGAGCTAACATCTGTGCCTGTCTTCCTCTATTTTGTATAGGAGATGCCATCACAGCACAGCTTGAGGAACAGTGTGTAGGTCTGCACCCAAGAGCTGAACCTGCGAACCCCAGGGCACCGAAGCAGAGCATGAGAACTTAACCACTATGCCACTGGGCCGGCCCCTTTTTTACACTTTAAAAATGAGTCATCGGAGAAGGGAACGCTCATACACGGCTGGTGGGAATGCAAACTGGTGCAGCCACTATGGAAAACAGTATGGAGATTCCTCAAAATATCAAGAATAGAACTATCATACGATCCAGCTCTTGCACTGCTGGGTATTTATTCAAAGAACATTAAAACACCAATGCGTAAAGGTACATGCACCCCTGTGTTCATTGCAGTGTTATTCACAAGAGCCAAGACTTGGAAGCAACCTAAGTGCCCATGAAGGGATGAATAGATGAAGAAGATGTGGTATATATACACAATGGAATACTACTCAGCCATAAGAAACGACGAAATCCAGCCATTTGTAACAACATGGATGGACATTGAGGGTATTATGTTAAGCAAAATAAATCAGAGGGAGAAGGTCAAATACTGTAGGATCTCACTCATAAGTAGAAGATAAAAACAACAAAAAACAAACACATAGAGACAGAGATGGGATTGGTGGTTACCAGAGGGGAAGGCGGGAGGGAGGGGGGGGCGAAAGGGATAATTAGGCACATGTGTGTCGTGATGGATTGTAATTAGTCTTTGGGTGGTGAACATGGTGTAATCTATGCAGAAATAGAAGCATAATGATGTACACCTGAAATTTATATGTTATAAAACAACCTTACTGCAATAAAATAAATGACTCATCATTAACAACACATCACTTTTTTTTACTTGTTATACCTTCATTTGCATTCACTTTCTTTAAATTCTCATTTCAAAAGAACTAGAGAAACAATCTACTGAGCTGAAGTTAAATTCCATAACAGACTACCTCAAAGGAGTTTCTCTTATTACACAAAATTGCTTTGGGTAAAATGGTGCAAAGGTCTCATTCATTTCAATGAGCTTTTGCTTATTAAAAATAAAATGCATTTGTAATATGAACTTTTGCCTTTTTAACATGGGGATTCTTTCTAACTTTAAAATTTCCAGAAATCATAATACTTATTTGCAAATGACATTCACTATTTTTAAACAATCTTAGTTTCTCTTTTACTTTAAATTCAAACGTCATTTTGAATCTTATTTCCTCAAGTTGCTTCTGTGATGAGGTGTAATGGAGAGGGTTGATAAATTACCTGTACATTACACTACAGATTTTTCAGAAACAAATTGTTCTGATCAGTGTCAAGCCAACAGTACATGAACAGGACCAAGGAAGTAGTTTTACCTTGTCTGCAGGAAATAAGGGGGCGCATTTTAGGGAGAAAATTTAAAAACGGTAATAGAACTGATTAAAAGTTGGTCTGCCTTACATTAACACACTGCACTCCCAATTCCAAATATTGTCAACGATAAAAATACTACTCCCTAACAAAACTCTTGTTGCTGTGTTAATATATTTGCTGTGATTACTGTGAGTTTTAATTTTACAAATATGTATTGATATGTATATGTACATTTCAAGAAGGAGAGAAAAGAAGAAATGAGAGGTGGGAAACATTTGAATAAATAATGACTGAGAATTTCTAAAAGATTGAAGAAATATATCTATCCACAGGTTGTGAAGATCCATACAATGCTACATAGAGAAGACTGCGGAAAGGTTAACAGATTTGGGTAGCATAGTGAAATTTAAGAACATCAAAGGCAAAGAGAAGTTTCTAAGTCTCCAGAGAGGTAAAACCAGAACATCTCCAAAGAGAAAGATCTGATTGAATAAAACTAGAATTTCCAATTGCAACAATAGTGCAAGAAGGCATAGATGAATTTATCTATTTTATATAGCATGGAGTAAACTACAAATTTTACATCCAGAAAACATAGCATTTAAACGTAAAATCAAAATATTCTTAGCTATATTATCACACATTGACCTTTCTCTGAAAGGCCATCTAACTTACTGAATTGAGCAAAAAAAGCATTAAAGCAGTAAGATTTACCATATAATTAAGCAACAAATAAGACAGAAACATGTTTACCCGTAATAATGATTATAGTTATTGTTAACATTATTGAGTGTTTGTTATGTGCAAGGTTCAGGTGGAAATAATAAAATACATGTGACTGCTTTCCTATGTACGGTATTTAAACTTCACAACAACCCTATGAGATAACTACTATTATCAATCCCAAGTCACAGTCACTCAATTTGAAACTGAAATTCAATATAGATTGGAATGGAAGGGGATGAGGAGGAATGGCCTACCAGTTGGCATTTTACAAATGCACATGTTTGAGAATAAAATATATTGTTCAGTTTTAGGTATCAATGAGAAAATTAAGCATAAAGGTAGATTGAAATATTTAAAAAAGAAATTTAGGAAAAAACATAGAATTATAACTTTTAAAACAATAGGAAAAAATTTGATCTCCCATTAGAAGTTAGGAAAGGAGAAATATAAGAAAAAAAGACTTAAAACAGTTGTAAGTTAGGAGAGATATGTCTTGATATAAAAGTAATTGTGATCCTTTTAAATGGGCTAAACTCACTAACCGAAAGACAGATATGTGCAGATCAGTGACTCGTCCCTAAAAAAATTCAGCAATATATTTTCTACAAGATGTACTTAAAAACTAATGATGCAGAAATATAGAAAATAGAAGGATAAAAAAGTTATACCCTGTATGTACAAACTAATAAGTGCTAGACTAGCAAATATAACATCAAATATAACCGATTTTAAAGGAAAAAAAATCAATAAAAATTGAAGTTGCATACTCCCAATGGAACAATAGATCAATTCTTATTATAATAGTGACATTATATGGCCTTAATACGGCCTTGACATAGGCAAAGAAACAAGATATGATGAAAGAAATAGATAAATCAACAACTGAAGTTGTAAATTTTAATATACCTTTCTTGAAAACCGATAGAGCAAATTTACAGAAAATAAACAAAAGTATAATAGCTGTAATAATGTGATTAATAAACGATATAATATATGCAACTTTATACATCACAGAAGACACTTTCTTTTTAAGCATACATGTAATATTTACAAAAATCGCATCATATTCTGACTCCCAAGAGAATCATTGATAAGTTTCAAAGAATCAATTTCTTGAGGATTATGTTCTTTGACTATGTATTTGAACTTAGAAATTAATAACCAAAATACTGCTAAAATCCTCATATTTCCCCAAACTACAATACGTACCAGTGAATAGACAAGAACTAGGTAGATGGAAGAGGTTTAGCCCATGGGTGACAGCTATGAGTCAGAATCCATCTTTGGAGAACAGGACTGGCAAAATATAAGCAGGATATCAGTCCCAGCTGAATGAACTGCTGTGCAGGATGAAATTGCTGTCCTGCGTGAAGGAAAGTAAGGGAAATGGTCAGGTCAGGGAATCTAGACGTTGGACCGACTCCGCACACTGGGTCAACACATGGGGAGATGGGTGCTGGTGTCCACAGCCACAAGGTAATCTCAGTAGTCTAGACCCTTCTCAAGAGGCTCTGTATCCTGGGTCTCATTAGCTGCAAAATCACTTGTGGAGACATGGTAGAGAACAGGAGTCAGTCAACAGATCGTGGATTTCGAACAGTAAAAATCTGTCCCCCTGACTTGATCTGGCAATCAGATTATCCTTCAGTGTGAAAATATCTCAGTTGATTTGCTTGTGATGATTTGGGAATTGCAAAGGCCCACAATGCAGCATTGATGCAGTACCTATCCAATAGTCACAACAACTAGATTTACACAAATAAGAAGAAAGAATCAGGGCTGGCCCCGTGGCTTGGCGGTTAAGTGCGTGCGCTCCGCTGCTGGTGGCCCGGGTTCGGATCCCGGGCGTGCACCGAGGCACC